GTAATGCGATCGCCTAGAAAAAAAATATCACCCTCCGAATTTACACTATGCGATCGCGTAGGGACAGCTGCGATCGCAGAGAAGGAAGGTCTGCAACAGACCTGAACAGAAATCTGCAACTTTTTACAACTCAAAAATGCCCCGTTGAGCATCCGAAACACACCCGAGGCTGCCGGAACCTCAACCAAACCTACGGACACATCCCATAACATCATTCAAACTTGTACCAATCCTTAAACCACCTAAAACAACGTCGGAAACTCGAATTAATCAAGGATTTAAGCCTAAGAACTTCATATTCTCTCAAAATACGCTTTCGATCAAAAACCTAACCAAAACACGTCCGAATGACTTGAAATTTTGCACACACATCCCAAATGACATGACGGAGCTACTGCAACTTCCGGAATTCCATTCCAACCCTCGGATCAAAATCTCACTATCGGACCGGAAACTTCAAAAATTCAAACTTCGGCATTTCAAGCCTAAATTAGCTACGGACCTCCAAAACACATTCCGAACACACTCCTAACCCCGAAATCACCTAACGGAGCTAACGGAACCATCGTATTTCCATTTCGAGGCTGTCCTCATACTGTTCCGACTATGGTCAGTTTTCCACCACTTAAGCTCTCATTTAGGAACTAAGTGTCCCAAAACTCTCCGAAACTCAAGACTGAACATCCCGACAAATCAAAATAGCAGAAATAAACTTGGGGAAAGCAGTTAATAGGGGATCGGGGCGTAAATTTCAAAAACGACCGGCCGGGTCGTTACAGAGGACTGAGGGATTGTTTCTCTGAGAGGATGCATTGATTTCATTATTGTTGCACTTCAACTGTCATACTGTCATATATCACTGTTTTGGAAATTTCTGAAAGATATTATCTTCTGTTTTAGACGAACTTGATATGAAATTACTGTTTGAGTTTTAAATATTGACTTGAAAGCACGCCTACCTTCTTATGTTGGAAATTATGGTAATTGGACTTAGCTGTGAAGCTCGTCACTATCTTCAGCTCTTTATTTAGTATTCTTACACTATCTTCAGCTCTTTGTTTAGTATTCTTAATTGTTGAGTTGGTTGTACTCATACTACACCCTGCACCTCATGTGCAGATCCAGATACTTCTGGACACGGCAATTGCTAGTTTTTCGGAGCTTTATCCGTCGGAGACTATCGAGGTAGCTTCTTGGCATCCGCAGACCTTGACTCTTCTTCCTTTCATTTATTTGTACTGTTCTATATTTCCAAATTGTGTTCTATCAACCAGACTATGTTATCATTAGATGCTCATTGTACTTAGTGACATCGGGTTTTGAGAGTGTTTTATGTCGGTATTTATGAGATTTTCGTATTCACTTTAAATATTATATTTTCAAACTTAAAAGGAAATTGTGATTTATTGAGGTTGTCGGCTTGCCTAGTATCGAGATAGGCACCATCACAACAGGTGAGATTTGGGGCGTGACATAAGTAATTGGTACTTGTTTTAATAGTTTTGAGTTAGTACGAATTTTGAATTAGTGTTATGAACTAGTTTGTATGTTTAAGTTATTTTAATTTAGTTATGTTGACCTGAGCGATTTTGGTTTTAATGATTAACAAAGGAACACATGCATGAACCAGGTCCATGGATACTACGATCAGATTCAAGCAAAAAGGCATGCACGTGCAAGGGATAAGTATAAGTGCATTTCTGATAATCCCTAAATAAAAATATTTAATATTTTATAAGGAGAAAGACTCCTTACTTGAAGAGAACTCTATCTAAGATAAAGAAAGAGTTAGAAGTTGAAGTTAACTAGAACTCTTCCACCAAGGATGAGTAAAGCATTAAACCTCTAGCTAATCCTTATTTTACTAACTCTATAAATATAAGTTTGTTCTCTTTTACAGGCGATGCACACGTACTAAAGTAAAAGCAGGATTGAGAGCAAATAGCAAGGCATTAGTTTTGTGAACAATTCCTGTGAGATACAAGAATGCGATCCTGTAGCTACACGAACCAGATTGAAGAACCAGTTCCATAAAGAGTTCTATGTGTCTGTTTTTAATTCTAGTTCAAGTGTAGTAGGAGCTTTTGAGTTGTACCTTTCAGCTTTTCTTAGAAGCATTTGTACTAAGTACCCAAGTTGTATCATTCAAGTTAAAGTTAACTTGAAGTAGTCGCAACAGATTGTGGCATGCTGCTACAAAGGTTAGAGTTAATTCTTAGGTTTGCAAGAGGTGGTAAACTCGAGTTGTATTGTCAAGTTAGAGTTAACTTGAAGTAGTCGCAACAGCCTGTGGCTTGTTGCTACAAGGGTTAGAGTTAATCCTTAGGTTTGCAAGAGTTTGTCTACATTGTTGTTTGGCTCAGAGTTATAGTGAAGTGAAGTGTTTGGGAAAAATCCTACTGGGTAGTAGGTTGTGGTTTTTCACCTTTTGAGTTGTGTCCAAGTAAAAATCCTTGTATCATTTACTTTCTGCATTTCTTTATTCCGCAATAGTAGCGTAAGGAACACATAAAAGAATCAGGTCCTTCGATAATCTAGTGCGCGTGAAAATTGGGTATCACACAAATCACTCTCCCTCCTGTATGGTATTGAAATATAAAATAACAAGTGTGAACTATTTGACTGGTTTAGTTTTTTTTGGTTGGAGATTGCTGTATTTTTTGGTGGAGATTGATGTAATTGTGTTGGATGTTTTGGTTATTATTATTAGTTGGAGGTTTTTGTTGTTTGGCAGCAAAATAGTACTGGACCTGTAGCTGTTTGTATGTATATTTTTGTTTGGCAGGTAGTGTAGCTATAAAACAAGTACTGCCTGCTAGTTTTTATCCAGAAAATTGATCAATGTATGTTGGTTAATTAATATAAAATTAGTAGAATTGTTAAATACCGAGAGAATTCAGCTGGTTATTTGGCAAAAAATATAACAATGGTTAAATACCGATCGAATTTGATTGATTATTTGGTAAAGAATAGAAATTGTTAAATACCCCGTAAATGGTCGGTTAATTGGCCAAAAAAATAAAATTCAAAATAAATCAATTGAAATTGGTCGATTATCTTATTATATTATTCTAAAAATATGTAGTTAGAAACTGACCGGCTTCGACCGATTATCTTATTATATTCATAAATTTTGACTTCATAAATCGACCGATTTCAGTTGGTATCGTTATTTTGCCCGTCGATTTTAACCGATTTTCAATAGTGTATAATTTTTTATTTGCTTGGTGGATAAGGAAGAGAGAATATAGCTTGTTATAAATTACCAAGAGAAGTTATCGGGCTGTAATCTAGTTGAACAGTTCAACACATTGTGAAAATTTCGAAATTTGGAATCATTCCATGAGCTGATAATGACACGAGTTAGAGCTTTACAGCTTGTTTGGATGGTTGTTACGTATCGTTTCATAATGTATCATATCGTATTATATTGTATTGTACAATGTTTGGATGGATTGTGTCGTTTTGGCGTCGTTTCATGGTATCACGCACCTGTGATATGATGAATAAACTTGCAATATTATAAAGAAAAATTATGATACGGTATATAAAAAGGTAGGGTAAATGATAATATAAAATTATTTAATAATAATGAAGGGTGAGATTTAGAGAAAAACACAAGGAAACGACGCGACCACACCAAATCGGTCGTTACATAAAGTGACACATTTCATCGTTACGTAACGACGAATTTAAAGATGCGATACAATAAAATTTAAGTAACAATCAAAACAAATATTGTATTTAAAATAACAATACGATACGATAGGTAACAACCATCCAAACAAGCTGTTAATGCGGGAGGGAGGATTTATATTACCGACACTAACTTGTTTGGAGCAAAAGCTTAGTCATTCTTATTATTGTTATGAGCTGATGTTAAAAGTTTTATTCCAATAGCCTATTTTCAAGACCAGCAATGACCTTGAGATAGATGGTGATGCTAGGAATAGAAAGATTTATATTAGTCAAAACCAATCATTGTCCTAGACCCTAATTTCATAACAAGTAAGAATTAAAATATTACAATAAATAATAATAGTTACATCTCAGTTCCAAGTTAGTTGAGATTAACATATGTGAAGAAAGAAAATGAGTTTGTTATCCAATATGTGAATAAATATGCAATATTTTTAAATATTGTCCTCTAGCATAATTTCTGATAGTAGTAAGTAGTAACTATTATAAATAACTGAAATTCACCTTTATCCCTAATAAGGCTTACCAAAAACTCCTAGAAAAAGACAAATTAAAGAATAAAAAATACAAAAATCACGGTAGACACTCAAATTTTAACAGATCAAGAAAAATCCTAAATTCAAGACAACTCTTGAAATATTAGGAGTCTATTAGGATTACTTGGTGGCTACTCTACTCATACCCTAATTTATGCATATAAATAAGGCTACATATGTACTTCAAAGACATCTCAACAGTTCCATAAACTCTCGGAATATGCACAAAGAGATCAAATATGAGATCTCCGAAATTCCATGAAACTCTTGAAATATTCATTAAGAGATCAAATACATGTGAAATATGTCTCGAGGGAAGAATCAAGGGATAAACAGAGTTGTAACCTACAATGTTTATCAATAAAATCCGTTTTCCTTTATAGTTGTTTGTGATTGCAGTTTTATTTTTCTCCGGATAAATTTGTTGCAAACAACCACCAAATCCTTTTCTTTGGCAATTGAATGCAAAGAGTAATTACCCAGGTTAAATCAGTAAATTTAAAAGCAGAAAAAGACATTTGAAAAAGTCAGTTCTCAGTTAGGAAAATGACAGTTAGAGAAGAGGGGGAAAGGGAGCAAAAGAAGAGGGCCTTTTATTATTATTATTATGTTAAAAAACCAAAAGTACTTTAACATAATTGAAACATCAATTCTTTTTTCCTGAGCACTTTGTCTAAACTTAGCTTTTCACTCTTCCATTTCATATTCCACAGCACATGGTATGCTTCTCAAAGCATAAGTGAGGTCAGTATTACTCCTTGTTGGATATAAGATACATGCATTAGGGGAGAAAATTTAAACAACAATTATTATGGCAAGACTTGTTGTTTGATGTTTACCAATTTTGCATGTCCATAAAATTGGTATGTTCCTTAAATTTTCTGCTAACTCAAAGTTTTGTATCTATTATTATTTCCAAGAGTTCAACAACATTTAGCTGTTATCATAAGAAATGTCCTTTTGTGAAAATGAACAATTCTGCTGATGTGAGACAGTTTGTTGTTTTCATATTGTAGCTTTACACTTTTTTGTTTTATTCTATAGAATAGAAATGCATCTGAAATTCTGCTCTCCCTCTTCAGTACACAGAAATTGGTTTACTTATGAATTTCTAAATGGGAAAGCGAAGAAATTGGTTTACTTTTGTCAAGAGACTTTTCATTCCTGAGACAAAACCAACAGCTGATCAAAAGGTTTGAATTTCAAGATTCTCTGTAGCTTACTAGTGAGTTTTTAATCTTTGGATTTCTAAATTTGGAAATTATGAAAATTATTTTCAGAAACCAAAGAAATGGAAATGTTTTTTTGGAAGGTGCAAGTTGAGGAAATGTATTGCTATAGAAGCACCTGAGAAAACATTAAATGAGGCAAAAGAAGAGCAGAGGAAACATGCTTTGGCTGTAGCTATAGCAACAGCAGCAGCTGCTGAGGCTGCTGTTGCTGCTGCTAATGCTGCTGCTGATGTTATCCGTCTAACGAATGCTCCAAATGAATTCAAAACGAAACGTAAAGATGCTGCCATTAAAATCCAAAGTGCTTATCGCGGCCACCTGGTAAGCATCATCTCTCGTGTTTCTTGAAATTTTACTTAGTCCATAGTCTATTTAGTGTTTTTGCTCCTGCAATTCCATTATCAACTTGTTTTGGACTTCCATTTGACTGCATTAGGTTGAGTATTAGCTAATAATTCATCACTAAACTTAGATAGAAACTGCAAGTCATTGCTATAAGCGTCTTGAAGATCTTCATATAACCAACCATTTATTGATAAGTTGACAAGACAAACTTTCCAAGATTATTCCAATCTTTTGTTGAGAATTTAAGTAGTAACTTGTAAATTAAAGGGCGAAGGCGCGAATCAAGTAAAAAACCAAAGAGTCATCTTTGGGGGCTACTATGCATCTTTATTCTTAGTAGGGTGTAAGGGCAGGCATGGATATAGCAGGATTTGAACCTGCGACCGTGATGTTGACAGCCAAATGCTCTACTAACTGAGCCATACACCCAAAAAAAAAAACATGTAGCAGTAAATAAGGATCGTTAAAAAGCAGGCCCCTCTTCTTCTAGAGGAGCACGGCTTTTGAGCCCGTTTGGATAGGCTTAAAAAAATGGCTTTTCAGCAAAAATAGGTTTTAAGCCAAAAAACAATATAAGTTGAAGTTGCCCAACTTATTGCTTTTGATTTGTTTTAAGCAGTTTTCAACTTATTTTAAGTATTTTTTAACTTTACCAAACACCGAACAAAACTAAAAAGAGCTTAAAAGTTTATTTGACCAGCTTAAAAGCCAACCCAAACACCCTCTTTGTATGAGACTCGCACTGCAGAGTAAGTGGAGAAAACCTCAGGTTGCACCGAGTCTTTGCCTCCCCCCGGGTAATCTATCACCTCGGTTGGGAAGAAAAGCTTTTTTGTTGTCGGAAAATCTCTCTTCACTTAATTAAACTCTTCCCTTACATAGCTAGGCACAATTTTTAAGAATATATTATGCTTGTTTTTATGGCTACTTAGTTATTCTTTTCATTTTCACTTATCAAAACTTCTCTAACCTTGTGGAATGTTGTGTAGGCAAGGAAAGCATTAAGTGCTCTAAAGGGACTAGTGAAGCTTCAAGCAGTGATTCGAGGTGAAATTGTGAGAAGAAGACTCATTGCCAGATTGAATTTCATGTTGCCTCTTCAAAAGCCAAAGGCAAGAGTTTATCAAATTAGACTCCCTACTTTAGAAGATTATCACGACTACAGCGACAAGAAACTCATTAATAGCCCAAACGAGAGCATGAAATCTAAAGGATTAAAGGTAAGAAAAATCATTCTACTTTTCTCTATGATTCAATGAAAAGGAAATTGATTTTGCTTGTCCAAAATGATAAAGTTTATCTAGTTTTTTGCAGTTTGAAGATTGTCATTCATCTGTTTTCATATTTGTAATATGGTTTTGGTCATTTGCAGCTTAAATGCAAGAGCCATAGGACTTGGGATTTCAACTTGGCTTCAGTACAAGACACTGAAGCCATGTGGTCAAGAAGAGAAGAAGCCATTACCAAAAGAGAGCATTTGATGAAATACTCGTTTTCACATCGGGTAACTTCACTTGCATTTGTGTTCTCTCACTCCTCTGTTAATAAAATAAGATTTAACTTATATACGCTATAGCAGGTAGTTTGTCTCTTTTTCCACGTTACTAATCTCACTTTTTACAGACGGTTACTTGTACTTATCTTTTAGGTAACCTGATCGTCAGTGTATAGAAGTTACATGTTTACATTATATTGCTTCTTTTCAGGAGAGAAGAAATGATCAAACTTTAGAGGAATTATTAACCAGCAAGAAAAACCGAAGAAGCTGCAGGTTTGATCATCAGTTGGCAGAAATTGAGGCACCAAGAAAAGCAGAGTTATTCGATCAATTTACAGACTCAAATGTTCCTCTAGCTGACATGAACGGAATGACGACTGAACTTAAAGTGAGGAAAGTGATTAGATCAGATTTCATAGAGGAACTACATTCTCCTTCTTCACTACCAAGAAGATCATTTTCTAATGTAAAACAAAAATCAAATGTTGATGTTAACTCTTTACCAAATTCTCCTATATTTCCTACTTACATGGCTGCCACAGAATCTGCAAAGGCAAAAACAAGGTCAATGAGCACGCCGAAGCAACACCTAAGGTTACACGAAACATATTCTTCAGGTCAACATTCTCCTTACAAGCTCAAGGTTTCCTCTTGGAATTCATTTAATGGTGAAATGAATGACAGTACCAGAAAGAGCAGAACTTGTAGCAGATAGCTCTGAGTGTATTACCAAGATTGAAGAAATACGTTTTTTCTAGATCCTATATTTGCTATCAAGCATATTCTAGATGAACATTGCTACCTCCTACTAACACAAGTACTGAGTAACTCTGTCCACCAAACATGAGTGTCGTACATTATTGACGTGTTCTATTCAGTACTTCCAACAAAGGAAAGCAGAAAACTCCTAAATTTGCACCATTACTTCTGGACTTGAAAACAATCAGAAAATGAAGCTGCTTGAGTAATCTATCCACAGTTGATTGATGAAAGCCAGTGCACATCTTTTGTTACTGGATTAACACTTCAGAGACTTGCCACAATGTGTATATAGTTCAAAGTTTGTTATTCCTTGTTTTATTTATTTAATTTTTTGTGTGAGTTGAGTATGTTAGGCAGAAATTTTTTGATGTTGTTTGGTGGCCTTTTACCTGGAAACATTTCTAAGTTTGGTATTTGATTAGGGGCTTAGTCTGTGTCTGCTATATTTACTTAGCTTAATTTCTTTTGGTTTCTTTCTTTAAACCAAAGATTACTTTTCTATTATTTCATGTAAAATTCTTTGAAGAATAAACTTACACATTACTTAAGTCTTCTCTTTCCGATTACACCTGATTTCGAAACTAAAGAAAATGGATTGAACCAACCGAAAGTAGACGAAAAAGCATTTTGATATGTAAGATTACTGACAGATAAACAAACCAAAATTGACAAAAAAATGGTAGTTTGGTTGCCTGTTTGGTGAATATAGTCTGAAATGCTTCTTAGTTTCAGGCCTCTTTAATATTTTGATCTTCATCAAACAAACCAGAAATATAAGCCTCAAAATTTGCCTCTTGATGAAGGACAGTAGAAGTAGCTCCTCCTCTATGTTTTGAACTAAAGATAAAACACAGTCCAGAAACAACTCTGGTGATCTCACATCTCGAAACAAAATAAAATATATACTTGACCATAAGACAGAAAGAAGATTCACAAATATTGCATAGCATGGTTGCTGCAGATGCTCCACAGAGGAAATAAACGCCCAGTTGGTCCTTGCTCATTAACACAGCTTTCCTTCGGCAGGCATTAGCACGATACTGTTGCAGGACGAGGCAGCAAAATTTTTGGAGTTGATTAAAACCAGAAACTGACTATCTAATCAGTTATTTTTACCATCTTGTTCACAAATAGCTGATCTCTTAAAGTATCGACTATCTTAGCTAAAACAGCGCCATTGGCAGCTAGATAATCTTCAGCATCCTGTCTACTGTTTAAAACCTCTCCATCTATGAAGTAGCTCCCTCCCTCTTTCAGAATGACTTCATGTTCACAAGCCAATTCCAAAACCTCAGATTTTATGCAAAAGCCTCCCCCAAACTGTATCCTAAGTTCAGCTTCTGTTGCTGCAGGAGCTAGCTTATTTTTAACCACTTTGACACAGATCCCAAGACCAGTAATCTGGAAAAAAAATCGAGCCAAGCTCTAGTTAAAAGATAACTAATAAAGTAAGTGACAAAACAACATCACTTAAACTCATCTCTGACAAGTCCATTGGAAACAAAGGATATTACAAAACAAAGACAAGCAGGTAAAGAGTTCTCTTTTTATTTATTTTTCCCTGGGGTGAATGTAAGGATTAAGAACGGAGACATGACGCCCAGAGAGATTCACACTATAGAACAGCAGAAGGAGCAGAAGCTCTTTCCAGTTTTGCTAGAGGGAGTGAATAGTACAGTAATAGCACGTGTACACAATTTAAGAAAAAGTCATAAGCCAATGTTCTGGATCACAGATTGAGAGGTGTTCCAATCTGAAAATAATACATACTGTAAATGACTAATAGCTCATACTCGCGTCTATTTGATTAGCTTCTAGCCAATGAGCATCTCAAACATCCAAATGAAGTAGTTTCATATGTTCTCTTCAACAATTAACACACACATGTCTGGGTCCGATGGCATAACTTAAATGATTTTAAGCTTTTTACCCTGATGACTTCAGTTGTTTATTTGATTAATTATGTTTTCTAAAAAAAAAAAATTAAACTGTCAGTAGGGAAATAGCATTTTCTCCTTCTCATGCTCATAAGAAAGAGAGCGGAATGACAGATTCGGAATAATTCATATCATAATTGGGTTACTAAAATATATTTCTGAAGGCACGAACCAATGAGTCAAAAACATGAAATATTTACCTTATCACTGGTCTTAAGCAATTGTTTTCTAATCGTTCTAAGCCGTACAGCAGCATAAAAAGGCAAAGCATTTCCACCACAAGTTACTTCCTCCATACGCCCTGAGCCTCGAGCTAATCCTTTGTTCGATCTTACCTAAATAGAGGTCAGATCAGTATGCCAGCTGTAACAGAAAACGGATAGCAAGATATAATGTGTTCTAGTAACCAGAACAAACCTGATTAACGAAAATAATTAGTGTGCTAGAGTTGCATAACGAATAATGAATTTTACGTAGTGCTTGTGTCATTATCTTTGATTGTAAGCCTTTAGGAGAGTCACCTAAAGTAGCATCAAGCTCAAGTCGGGGAACAAGAGCTGCCACCTGTTAAAAGAAAACAATTGAAAAAATAAAACTAGAAATTTCAATTAGCAATTTGAGTCTAGGGGATCAATATGATGAAGTAATAGGTTGGTAAATTAGAGAAAATACAAGAATGAAAAAGGGAATTGTTGACAAATACTGGGAAAATTGGAGCAAATAAATCAGCCTTGAATTATAAAGGGAAGCACTTACACTATCAACCACAATTACATCCATGGATCCACTTTTTGTCAGGGTATCAACAATACTCAGCAGATTCTCAGCAGAATCTGGCTGTGAAATAAGGAGATTTTCTACATTAACACCTATTGCTTCAGCAAGAGAGGGGTTCATTCCATTTTCGACATCCAGGTATGCACAGTAACCTATCAGTACAAAGATAATAGGATGAGAGGAAACTAATTTGAAAATTGTTTGGGGAAGGAAAAACTGAAATGATTGTAAACATTTCACACTTACCATTCTGGATATCATTATCTCATGCTAAACAATGAAATGTTTCCTTCCAAAAGGTAAATCATCCTTATCGTTGAGAGCTAGAACCACTTTCTTATTTACTCTTCATTAGTTTCTTTTAAGTAATTAGGTTGGAAAGAATATAGATTGCACAATGACCATGAGTACATCTGCAGATCAAAATGTTTAATATCACTACTGTCTAAGGTCGTTTTTTAAATCCTTATGTGGTGCCCCTTGTTTCAAGCGGTATCACTTTTTGTGTCAAACTAAATCAAATAAGATCTAGTTGTTTTCTAATCAAAATTCAAGAAGAAGATTAGAACAAAAGTAGTCTTTTCTTGAGAGTTCTGCGATATATTCATTCTCAAAAAAAAAAAAAAAAAAAAGAGTTCTGCGACATATAAAACTAAGAAGCACTCAATCCATTTCTTAGCCAATGTAGTAAGCTCATCTATATAAGCACGAAAAATTTGCAGCCATGAGAACTATGCAAAAGAAAAAAGTAAGGATAGTACCCAATTGGAAAAGATAAAGTTTCCGTTCATTCTATCAGTGGATGCTATTTGAAAGAAAACAAAAGCATACAATATGAATAAATAATAAGCTAGGAAAACATAAGGTGAATAGTAAAAGGTCGTTAAATTATTCACCTCCAAGCTTTTGAGCCTCTTTAATTACATGAAGGGCAAGTGTTGTCTTCCCAGATGCTTCTTGTCCATAAATTTCAACAATTCTTCCCTTTAGAAGAAAATTCAAATGAACAGCAAGTGTTAATACCCGCAACATCCTTGTTACAACAACAATATCATAGTACTTTGATTTAGATAAGCAACAGGCACTAAAATCATTATACAGATCACTATAAATTTAAAACACACAAAGAAGTACTTTGATCCAGAGAAGCAACACACGCTGTGATTTCATAACTAATAATCCCCGGAAACTACTATGCTACTGGAAGAACCCTTCCCCAGAGAAAAGGAACTATGGTTACAAATGGCATTAGCATCTTCCTATTGTTAAATGACATATATTCATTTGGTGAAGCCTCACAGCAGAAAAGAAGGAGAATGCTCTAGGCACATGACTATCCTCAGACAATTATGCCACTGAAAGCCAATAAAAAACACTTCTAATTGGATGCTAGCCTTAAACAATCCGGTTGAGAACAGTAGCTGATTTATAAATCCAATACGGTTATTTTCAAGATAAGTTAAGACAAATATAGACTATACTGTCCTAATCCTCTCCGTTCAAAAGAAACTAAAGTCTGGCAAAGGAAAATTGCAAACCTTAACAACAAAAATGCTTCAAGAGATCAGACATTCATGGCCCTTTGCACATACAGGAAAACAGAAAATCAGCCATTACTTGTTTGGGATTACAAAATTTAGAGAACAACACATCAGCACTACATGAAGACCCCATTTATGCAACCGGTATCGGAGACAAAATCCACATTGGAAATAAGCACATCTAATGTAATCACTTTATATAAAATCACCTTGGGTAGTCCTCCAATCCCAAGTGCTAGATCAAGCCTCAACGAGCCAGTAGGTACAACAGGTGCACGTCGTCTAGCACCAAAGAAGCGCTGCAAGGACAACATTGATTCTTTGCCAAAATCGCCTACAAGCTGCGAGAGGGCCGAGCGCAATGCAGTGGCTTTCTCTGATGTTTTGGTATCATCTTGGATATCATCAAATTCACCTTCTGAGATTCAACAAAAAACAAGGTTGGAGTTATTAAGAGACACCTGAATGCTCGAGGAGCATGATATACGATGAAGCCACAAAAAGATTTCATGCAGTTTAACACCAATAGGTAACTCCAACCTAAAACTGTACTTGGAGACAAGCAATTGGTTTGGCAGCATACAATAAAGCATTATCGTACACACATTTACTAGTTGAGAACATAATCTCGTCCTATTTCCTATTTGTCGAGTTTTCTGCCAAATAATTGCTCTTTGATTTGCAAGTGAATTGATATTTTACCGCAATAAGTATTATGTTTCATACTAAATCGAAACATATATAGTAATACCACACAATTAGTAAATGCAAAACAAATTTTACCAAGCAGAGTTCTTAAAAAAAATTGACCAAGCAGACTTGTGGATACCTGTGCTACATAGCTGAGAATGAGTTGCCATGGTAAACAGCTACTATCGACTAAAAATCAACATGTTCAATATTTTTGGCGGAACAGAATAATTCTTCCTCCTAATCTCAATATATTAAGGATTGATGTCTACAACTAACCTCTTGTAATCATTGACTAATCAAGAAACAAGATGTTTAGAAAAATTTAACTCTGTGTAACTCTATAACCCATATTATTCACTCTCTTTTCTCCCCTTTCCTAGTCAGTGTTATTCGGATAAGATAGAATAACACAAGAAAGCTTCACATGGGGATTAAGCATACAAATGTCAAGAAGGGACTCAAGGAGAAAACCTACTATATAATTCTAACCTGGAAACATGGAAATCGAAAAGTTTGAAAGACTAGATACAAATGGTATGCATAACACAAAAGCACCAGACAATTACAGAACTTGCAACCAAGCATTTTATAATATAATTTTCTAATTGTTCCAAAGTCTTATAATATATCAAATTCAATTTTTGCGTTCGGGAAGGATGAATCGCTCCCCAAAAGGAATCTATTGATTTTCTCCCAATTGGTTGGACTGTAGGTGCGATGATTTACTTCACGAGCGAGGTCTATGGTTCAAGTCCAGGATGGCCCAGGGAAAAGAATAGAAGAAGAATCCGACTACTTCATTCATGCTCCACTTGGCTCAGGGGAGATATAGCTCAGTTGGTAGAGCTCCGCTCTTGCAATTGGGTCGTTGTGATTACGGGTTGGATGTCTAATTGTCCAGACGGTAATGATAGTATCATGTACCTGAACGGTAGCTCATTTTTATAATTAATGGGGAAGAGGAACGGAACGTGCCACTGAAACACTCTACTGAGACAAAGATGGGCTGTCAAGAAAGTAAAGGAGGTAGCCCCC